TTTTGAGTATATGTGCATTATTTAAAGTACGTGTATGGCCATTATTTTGAAACAAGGATTAATTTTCTGGTAACTTGTAGACTAAAATATCTAGTGAAGTTAACCTATTATATCTAGAAGATAATTCTTAGAATATTTTTGATAAAATCATTAAAGAAATGCATAAACTGTATAATGAAGAAATTTTGAAAGGCAAATATGACAATTTAATTCTTAATACCTTAGAACAATTTTTGGTAAAAAAATTCGATCCTATAGTTCAATTTATTTTCACATTTTGTTATAAGCATGGCAAATGGGTTGAAATAGATGAATATAAAGCATTTATTTATTATCAAAAATCTGCTAAAATGGGAAATGCTAGTGGAATACATAACGTGGATATTGTTATAAATACAGAAATAGTGTTGAACAGGATAAAGATAAGGCCATACAAAGTTAATTGTTTGGTTCTTATAACATAAAATGTAAAAAATGACCCGACAACCCGGCTTTTAATTTTATTTTCAAAAAATTTTATATATAAAAAACATGTAAAATTTTTTTACAGGTTTCTGAAAAAACCAACCCAGATATTAAAATATAGTCAAAATTTTCTTCAAGGGTCTGCAAATTTTAACCCGGCCGGGTTATGAGAACCAATTTATTAAGTTTGTATGGCCTAATGCATTTATTTATTATCAAAAATCTGTTGAAATAGAAGATGCTGTTGCGATAAAGAATGTTAGATATTGTTATAATCACGGAATTAGAGTGAAAAGGATGGACATAAGGGATTAATTTATTATCAAAAATCTGCAGAGATAAAGCATATTGGTGCGATATATAATGTTGGATGTTGTTATGAATATAGAACTGGAATTGAAAAGAATGAACAAAAGGCCTTTGAATATTATTTGAAAAGTGCCAAATATAGATATTGTTGTAGAATATATAGTGTTAGTTCATGTTATTAGAACAGGATAGAAGTAGAAAAGAATAAAGATTTGGCATTTGAATGGTATTTAAAATTAGCTATTATAAAAGTTACGTGAAATTTGGATCATTTCGTGAAAATATTAAAGGATTATTTAATTCTGAGTATAAAATTAAATTAAAAATATTATGCGATATTGTTTATAACCTATCATGTATTTATTCAAAGAAATTTATGCATTGCGATTTATATTTAAGTAATATTTTATTAAAAGAACAATATAAAGCCTATATTACCAATTTAGGTTTATCAATAACGTTTGATAAAAAACAAGATCATATTTATAGAGTTTTGCCATATTTAGCACCTGAGGTCTTGAAAGGTGAACCATTAACTCAAGCTGCCAATATTTACAGTTTTGGGATTATTATAATAGAAATATCAACTGGTCAAGGCCTTTCGATAGTTACTGAATTAGCAATAAAGATTTGTAATAGTTTGTGATCTGAATTTAATATAGGTGCTCCAAAATGTTATGTTGAATTAGCCAAATGATGCATTGATCCTGATATAAATAAAAGGCCTACAGCTGTTGAGATTCTTAATAAACTTACAACAAATACAGTAGTGGTAATCAAATTGAAGCAAAAAAATCCAGGTTTGCAACTGGTCATATACGGAGTACACGTTATTTAAGAATGCACATAGACGTTATTTTGAGACCATGCATACTATGGAATATAATTTTCTAAATAATGCTCATAGGCATTATTACGCGAAAATACAATAGGACAAATTAAGTTAAATACTATCTTAAGAATCAATAAACATGATGTTTATTTAATTTATTATTATCAAAAAACCTTTAATTATAAAGGTAAATTCACTTCTGTTAATTAACTATATAATCATAAAAATATTCTTTTTGAGAAAATTCTCAAAATTAAATTGAATCCAGAAATTAATATTATTCTCAATGATTATGCTTTACTCACAAATATGATTGAAGTTTGAAACATTATCACAGAAATTCTTAAAAACACATCTTGGGAGAAGTTAGTAGAAGATTGGGCTTCCTATAAGAATATTTAGCAAAAATGTCTTAAAGAAAATTTTTTTTTTAATATTAAGATAATCACTTAGAGGTTTAATATATTTTATTAACTTCAATTTGAATGTCAGAATAGCCATGTAAACCATCACTGACTTTGTTACATTAACTAGGTAAATGCAAACATTGTTTGTCTGGAACTTATTTAATTAGTAATTTATCACTCAACCAGAAAGAGCTTATAGTGTAATGTAATGCAGTTTATATATAGAAATTAGGGTTTTTAGAATATGAGCTGCTTCTATCTAAAACTTTTTTATACTAAGTTAATCATCTTTAAACCTCTAATTAAAGTTATAAAGCTTATCAAGACAAATTTAATAGTAATTGAATCATCAAAATCAACCTTGTAGATCACAAAAAACATTTTGCTGACTATGTAAACTTCTCTTTTAACAATAGTATTGTTGAAAGAAAAGTTTACATGGTCAGCGAAGGATTTTTTGAAGATATCTTGTGATCTACAAGATCGATTTTGACGATTCAATTACCATTAGATTCGTCTCAATGAGCTTTACAACTTCAATTAAAAACCCAAAGATGATTAACTTAGTACAAAAAAGTTTAGATAGAAGCAGCTCATATTCCAAAAACACTAAAATTTTTGTGTAACTCTAAATTATGTGAGTGGACAGACGGAAAATACAAAGTTACTTTTTTGATATTTTAATATGATGCATCAAAAAAATAATTTTTGTATCACAATATATAGAAATAAATGGTCTGTCACTTCATTTTAGACAATAAGAGTACAATTAACTATATATACAACTTTAGTTATTGCCTAATTAAAAGCTTTGCTATAATTATTGCTATTTATAGTTACTTACCAATTGCCATATCTAAGATCTGCCTGTAAATTTTCTATTTAAACTCTTAAATATTCTCCTCAAAAAGAAATTGCCATGAAAGCCTTTAGAACTTTAAAGCAATCACACACTACTACATAAAAGGATCCTTTATCTTTGTGATAAATATACTAGAGCAGTCTATATCCCACACATATATCACCTAGTTTTCAGTAACTTATACCTCAATCACAACCAAATTCTTGTAATATTTTATCTTTGCTACTGTTATTTACTCCTTGCTCTTGCAAAGTTTATCCAAACTCAAGCACCCACTTTACAGACTATCAACAGTACTTTGATGCCAACTGTCAGTGCCTAAAACTTCCAAATCTTAAAGAAAATTTTCATGTTAATAAGAATAAAAAAAACTGCAAAATTAAACTACAAATAATTTAACCAAAAAATCAAAAAAAATCAAAAGCATAAACCTGCTGATCCTCATATCCATGAAATGGACTATCAATGGACCCATAAAGATGATACTAAGTACATTAGCTATAAGGTTTGCATCCCTGCAAGTAATAACCATCCCTACAATCAATGGGTTAATAGCTGCCAAGCTAAATTGGAAAAGATGGCTAAGAAAGAACAAAAAAATTGAAAATTCATTAGAGGCTTGCTTAACAAAAATTGGTGATATTGCATGAAACATGGGTACAATAATACCAACAAACATTGAAGAACCAGAAGAAATACCACAAGACAATTCACTAGTGAAACGCTGAAAGAAAAGAAATAATGCAAAACAATTCACCAGCAAATGCCAAAAGACTAAAAAAAATACTACAAAACAATTGAGAAGAAATTACACAACTATACTACGACAGATGGCCAGCCTAAACCCATGGTATTCTGCTCCACGTGTATCCACAGGTACTGCAAGTTATACTGAAGAATTACCGAAGAATCCGCTACAAGAGAACCAATTTCGCATCAAGGCGATAGGTATCATTGTAGGTCCTCTTTTAGCAATGATGCGTTTTGGGCGGCCAGTACGGCTGGAGGCTTTATGTTCTTGTCAGATAAAAGTCGACTTCTTTCATATATTCTCTATAAATCACTACAAAAGTTAGGGGGTGAACCCTTTGAGTATTTTTGTCTCCCTTAATATTTTTTTTTTTTTTGTGTACATATTTTTTTAATAAATAAATGCTCAAATTTATCTTTAGTATACGCAGCTTTTAATTAAGAATATGATTTTAAACATGATTAACGACTTATAAAACTGCCTTCGCATCTAAATATCTTATTTTGCCTCTATTATAGAAGAGTTAGTAATTTACAAATATGCTATATAGCATGATCCTGAATAAAAACAGCTATTCCGAAAATTTGACGGGCTATTATATTTACCAGAGATGTACGTACGTACGTAACTCGTGCGAGGTAAAACTAGCATGTATTCACAAATCATGATTTCATTCAAGACCAAGAATTATGTGTTTAGTGGATTATGGACTTTGGCGATAGTTCTAGGATTTTCTAAATTAAAATTTCGTGCGAAACATGAGGTCATATGATATAATTTGCGTTAAAAACGATTATTAGTTGCTGTAGTGTTAATTGCGTTAATAAGAAACTGGATAATGTTTATTTTATATAATGTCATCTAACCAAATCCTTTATTATTTTTTATGTTGTATAATCTACATGAGAAAATACAATTCATTATATTTTTATATTCTGGCCCTCAAGTTGAAACTATAATACAATTAACATTGCTGCCGCTTATCCATTTTTGAGCTGTTCTCTGAGTTGAATATTCAACACTATGCAACAAGCGCATCAAAGAAAGGCCATATTCAAAACTTTTATTAATGTTGTACGTCAGAGCGGAATTATTGTAGATTTAGAATCCACTTAAGTTGGAATGGAATTCCAAATGTGGCCCAAAATTTAAAAGTAATAATAAAAATTTGGTTTATTAACTTATTTCCGCGGCAATACTGAACTTTTATTTCAATTTGAATATGGTAAATTTCTGCGTCACCCGCATTGTTTAATAATTTCCTAGCAAAAGCAACATAAGTTTAGTAATTTCATAACAACAAGAAACATAATAGAGACTATTAACATTTCAATAAAAATACAATGATGTGACTAAAAAAATCGGAAATAGTTTCTATTCTTTTGTAATCTTCAATTCGGAGTTTTCACTTAGATCATCTACTATTGGCTGATCCAAACTTTTTACTGAACTATTATCCGAATCCGAATCATTATCATCCAAAAACGTATGATTTGGATTTCTTACTAACAAATCAACATTATCTAGAGAGAGCAGTTTAGTTGGATAACTTCAAATATACACTATATTGTATGGAGAAAGTATCTCACCACTTTCACGTGCTTGGACGTATTCTTCTTCGATATCTTTTATCCATTCATTCTGAACTCTTACGACCTCACTAGAATTTTCACACGCGGCATATTTATTAAGTAAATCGCTAGATTTAATGTTCAAGCGCAAAAGTCCTCCAACAAGGTAGATGTGGAAGGAGGATAAAAATATAAGATAAAATCGATATTATTAAAAATAGCAGATTGTTATATATTTTGTTTGCATTTTACCCATTAACGGAGAAGAACTCACGACCCCATTTAAATTTAGACAACAGTTGTTGAGCATATTCCGGAAAACCTTTAACGCAAAAAAATGAAATATTAAAATCAGATAGCATAACAAAGGAAATCTCACAAAATCATTACCTGTAATATAAAAACAGGCGGCAAAAGCTTCGACACAACTCAATTTCCATGGATGGCCATAATTTATGGGGTTCACTGCAACTAAATACGGTACTATACATAAACACAATTAATTACGTCGGATTTGTCCATAGTTTCGATTCATAAATATTCATAGAATAATAAATATCGCGCTGATACTGAAACATCACAACCACTATACTAAAGGATGTAATACTTAAAAATTATACCATTATTTTATATCACACATAATTGTATCTTATTTGCGCGAAGTAATTTCCATAGGCGTTCTTTTGAGATACACAACTTAAAGAGAGGTAATAATTAATTTAACCAAGTGCTAATCATCATTTTATTTTTAAAAGATCTTTGATGAAATTATTTATTAGCTCTAAATTACGTGCCTCAAAATAAACGTCCATGGCGTTATTTCGCGCAAAATACCTAATCCTAACGTACTATATTTTACAGGACTCGTCACAATTTTAAAAATCACGCATAACTATATAATAAAAAATTAAATAATAATTCTTGCCAACTGGATCAAATAGTTTGTATAATTCTGGTAGAGGTTTCAGTGTCAGCCATAACAATAAATAAGGTAATATCAGTAAAAGAGGAAGACATCCTTTTTTTTTTTCAAACACAATTTTTAAATTAAACAAAAATCTAAAATAAATGCAAATCTGTGATTGGTTGGAAATAGTTTTTAGCCAATCACAGATTTGCATTTATTTTAGATTTCTGATTCCCGGTGATACCTGATCACAGTAATTTGAAAAGTGCAATAATAAGAACTTTTTTATTTTAATTCTATAATTTATATAGAATTAAAATTTAAAAAAGTTTTATGTAGAAAAAATTTGTCCCTTTTCTACTAAATTCCCCAAATAATGCCAACCATACCACATTCCACTTACATAGCCTGTCATTAAACGTCCTTAATTTTGCAAATGGGACGTCGTCTAATCTTGCCCAAGAACAATCAATAACTGCCAAACCATGATCTTGTATGATTATTCGATCTGCAGGTGAAATAGCTTGTTGTCCTTGTGGACTATAAATAGATTAAGCGTTAAGAATTTTAATGAAAATAATCACAGGCAAATTTTAAAATTCAAATTCACCTTAAAACTATTCCACGGAACTTATATGAAACTTTTAAAAGTTTCACAATCCCTAATCTTGCAAGTTTCTTACCAGAGCATTTTTTTGGATCACAATGTTCAAAATCCTAATTAATCAAGGAATTAATACGCGAGCTATTATATAATTATTGATTTTTGGTCAGTATCCCTATGAAATCCAGATGGTACTAGATCCCGATGCACTAAATCCTGAAAATAATTTACAGCTTTTCTCATAAATTTTAGGACATCTAGTAAAAAAAAATTGACCGAATGATTATTTGGCCGATTCGATAAGTCTTTAATTCGGCTTTACTTTATGATCATCACCGTTTATGGGTCCTTGCTAGATCATTAAGAAACGATAAAGGAGTTTATATCAGTAGGGAAAGGAAATTGGTGGCTTTTCTGTTAGTACAAGGGTATTTAATATTTTAGCTGGTGTTAAAGGAGGGTTCTTTCTCTTCGTTATTGTTCGTTTAGCAGGAAGACTGGCTCTATCGTTCCCACCCATTCCCATCCATCCTGTAATGGGCAGCATCTTCATTAACTTGAATTACGTAGTAGGTGATGATAGTTCCGCAGCTGCAGTGGCAGTGCAAGGATCTTATAGATTGTGATTAGGCTCCATGATTGCAGTAGCAGTGCGAGGACCTTTCCAAATATACAACCGATTCTCTTATAGTTATGTTGCCTTTTCTTGAAGCCTTCCTTACACGAGATATTAGTGTTTATTAGAAATGGTTTTATGAGTTGATTTTATTGATGTTTTCATCTATAAGGTATTAGTCGGACTTTGCGTTACGTTTGGGCCTTTCAATGTAGGGTTGGAATACCTTTAGGATGGGTTAATTTCGGGGTTGTAATGTCTTATAGGAAAGTAGCACCTTAGCTTGAAAGTTAGAGCCTGAACAGGTTTCCGTATGTTCTTCAGTAAAGTTATCTGATCGAGCAATGATAATTGTTAACCTAATTTTATGTTCTCCATCTCTGATTGTAGCTTATACAAATATCAATCAGGTTTTTCGTTCAATAAAGTTTTAAAATATTTATGTCATCCAAATTTAATAAACGTGGTTTTTCAACACACCCATATTTTCGCAAGTGTTCGAGAATTTTACTTACGAAAGATCTGCTAACACTTAGATGCTTTCAATTATCTGAATTGCTAAGCCTTCCAAATATTTTTCAGCAAATGTTCAACGAACATGCGATAATTCATTCAGCAAAGATAAAAATAATGATATGTACAGTACCTTATATAGATATTATTTATATTGCCATTTGTTTACCAGATGCATCAAAATTTATAAGAAACAGATGTAAATTATTTAAGGATACGGGATTGTAATCTAGCAGGATTATAGTATTTCGGGATTATAATTTTTTGGGATTATAATTCGTGATTATGACCTTTTAAGATTATGATCCTTCGGGATTATGATCTTTCGGGATTATAATCATTCGGGATTATAATCATTATCTTTCAGTACTAAGACTTTTCAGTAATTTTTTTTTCAAGATTTAGTTTTCGGGGTATTACCCCTAGAGATTTTCTTCTTTCGGAATTTAGTACATCAGTACTTAGTACCATCGGGATTTCGATCTTCGGGATATTGACCCAAAATCATAATTACGTGTGGCATTTTCCGTATAAAAAAAAACTTATTAGATGACTTGCCCACATTCCAAGAGTCATTGGAATATTATTATCTATATTGATAGATATTAGATAAATAATAAACCTAATAATATTTTGTTTGATGTCAAGTTCTAAGTCAAAAAATTTCAACCTTTGCAAATCTCATTGTTAGTCAAGTTATGCCTATTATTAAATTGTTCCTCGCTTTTCATATAAAATGATCACGCAATTAGATTTTTGTGATTTAAATTTGAAATATGTTCATGATAAATATTTTTTTAAAATTTGATGAAAAAATTAAATTTTGAACATTGTACATACCTTATATATTCATCATAAAGGGTTGCATACCCTCTGTTTTGGTCATTTGAATTTTTAATTTTATCATGAGACCGTTGAGCGAAACCTTTCCCTTTGCGTTTTCCCATTTGGGTAGAACAAAAAATTGTGACATTGATATTCTGATTAAAAATTTATATAATCACAAATGATGCGATCAGCTGCACGTCTTTTACAGGGTAGTCCCTAAAATTCCGGATCAGAATTATTCGAAGCTGGGGCAATACTAGCTGGACTATATCGATATCCATAACAAAATATCGGCTTGGCACTTTTACTTGGCGTTTTTACTTAGTGATGTGCAATGACTTCATTGGTAAGATTTTAGGCAAAATTGGTTAATTACAGTACAATTCAGTTCCAACTAATTCCGACTGGAATTTTAGGGACCTGTGTGAGTTGAAGTCGTATTGGACCACATGATCTCTATCTACACCACTCCACACCACTACCCCAGCTTATATTGGAGTACCCTAGCCATGGCAAAGAAGCAAACGTTCATTTTTGATACTCCTGCGCCTACTTTTTTGATACATCCAGATGCAGTATTGTACACTAGAGCCCTGCACGGCACGCAAAATAACTTTTACTAGTTTTTTAAAAGCTCGGCCCGCGATTTTGAGAGATTTTTCAAATTTTCAAATTTTCGGCCCGGCCCGTGCAGGCCTCTATTGTACACGGACGTTGTCCCGCCAACTAGAGATGGAAATCAGTCATAGTATGACCGATTGTTCGGTCAAATTGATCGTGACCGATCTTGGTGTATTATGTTCGAGGGATATATTAGTGGAGCAACCAAAATTCAGCAGATCGACCAAAATTTAGGGTTGGAATAGGCCCGAAGCTAGGTCGACATTAAGCAGTAATACAAAACAACTATAATACCAGTCAGGGAATATGTCACACCTGTTAATATATGAGTGTTAGTTTATAATAAAAACTATAATAAAAACATATGAATTTACTATAAACTTTAAGCTCCACATTATTTTCAACTTACAAATTAACTTATTTTCAAATTTTGGGGTTAAGCATATTGAAAATAGTAGATTAAGATTATTTAGAATGTTTTTTTAAAATTCTGTAAAAATTGTATATTTTCTTAATGAAATTTTGCAAAAAGAAAACTTTTTTTAATTTTAAAATAATGATTATATGTAAAATTTTATACTGAACAAACTCAGTTAGAAGAAAAAGATAGGTTATCTAAATAAAATAAAAGTTTGCTATATACAAATGTTAGAATTTTCAGTTTTTCTATATAAAACTTTTTTCTGCTTAGGTAACCTGTTCTGACCTCTTAAGCAAATTTGTTCAGTACATAATTCTACATATTTTATATTTTGTTGATTTTGGTTTTTTGAATTTTTTATTAAGTGCAAGTTTGAATTAAATGTTATACAAAAAAAAATTAAAAAAAAATTTTTTTGTATATATAACATATAATCCAAACTTTCACTTATTAAAAAGTTTAAAAAATCAAAATCAGCAAATACAAAATATGTAAAATTATGTGCTAAACAAATTTGCTTAAGAGGCAGAACAGATTACCTAAGCAGAAAAAAGTTTTATATAGAAAAACTGAAAATTTTGATATTTGTATATAGCAAACTTTTTATTTTACTTAGATAACCTATTTTTTCTTCTAACAGAGTTTGTTCAGCATAAAATTTTACATATAATCAGTATTTTAAAATTAAAAAAAAGTTTTCTTTTTGCAAAATTTTATTAAGAAAATATGCAATATTTACAGAATTTTAAAAAAATATTCTTTTTTTTTTTTTTAAAGAGAGGTCTATCCTCTATCTCTTT